CACACCTGTACCACATATGTTAAACATACAGTACACCAAATCACTTCTTCTCTCTCAAATCCACATGGATGTTCAAAACCCCTAGTCATTGCTGTCTAGTTCTAACACATTCCATTGATTGTCTCTGAGTCTTGTAACCATACGGTAGTATTGCTTTCACTTAATGCTTTGGAAAATCCTGGAAATATAACCTGCTTCATGAGATCTGACCATGGTAACTCCTGAGACTACTGTCCGCAAACGATAACATTCATTATGCTATCTTGCAGCCGACTTTGTCTTTGCAATAAGATTGTTTACATGTTAACATCTATAGTTTTATTAATATAGTTTTGAGTCATTCTTTGGCTGTGCAGTCTATCCGTTTGGGTGAATTGCCTCGTCATCATTTGAACTGCTATATACTATCTTACCAACTTTCCAGAGATAACTGAAATATTTACCGAAAGAACTCTCATTCTCGACTCCCAGCATATTTTGAAGAATTTATTTTATATCTTGTACAACTGTGCATCTAGCTTATGTGGATGGCTTTGTGGGGGCAGTGAGCAGGAGCTGCTGAGCTCCTCCTGGTGACATTAACGTGCTTCCTTGCCAGGGGCCCTCTGAGAGTCCAGAGAGCGCTTGTTTGACCAGGGACAGAGCAGGTCTGGGCAGAGAGACAGTAAGTGACTTCAAGCTGTGACTTTTCTAACTAAATACATATTTCCCCCCTGCCCTTGTGCAAAGGCATGCTCTCGTTTTCTGAGGGAGTGAGAATCTTTGTGTGAAGAAGTGTCACCGAGTGCCTTACTCGTCAGCATGCACACACCATCTCTTCAAGTGACAGCGGGAGTAAGTTCATCAGTTCAACGTGCCTTTCACATTCGGAGACTCCTGACTAATAAAATCTGGTATTTATCATCAGAACAGCCAAAGAGCTGGATTCTGGCACACGCTGCTCTCACGCATGGAGAGAAACTTGAAAAGACAGAAGATTTGCTTCAATTTTCTTTCTTCTGTTCATCTAGAGGCAAAAGCATACCTTTTTCCAATTAAGGGGAGTATGAGCACACAGAAACATCTGGCCCGTAGCGCCGCGGCAGCCTCCTAGAACGGCCCGCTTGCCTCCAGTGTGTCCTTTTGAAAAATCGAGTCTGCGGCAGCCAGCAAGCTCTTCCTGGCTCGTAGGTCTGCAGCGGCCAATGCCTTCCCTGTCGTATTCCTCATGGCTCTTTCATGGTCCTGGGGGTCAGCTCCTGTGTGGTCACCGTTGCTCCCTACTCTGCCTGCAGCCTGCCACAGCCACATGGAGCACTCAGGGCTCTTGGGCTTCTGCGTCTTAAGAGGGCATCTCTGGACTTGTAGGCAAGCCAGTTCATTCCTTATAAGCTCTCCTTAGGCCCTGCCAAGACTGGATCTCATGGGCTCCCACAGCCCCTATCGGCATTGGTCTTTTATATTTGGCTGGTGTAGTAGGTTTTAATTTAAACAAACAAACTTGAATCTCATTGGACAAGGCTGTTATTGCTATTATCACTCAATTTTGCTTGAGACAAATAGCTCCATCACTTTGTATCACACATAAGATCCCAATCACACATGTATTCTATACTAGGCCATTATTCCTATGACCCAGTGGACTAGACTATAAGCTGCCTGCAGGCTGGTGTTGTGCACTGCTAATTTATATTTTATAATTTATATATTATAATTTATATATATTATAATTTATATATATATATAATCTGGTAGGGGCTTCTCCTTAAATATATCTATTGTATAAACCCGTGCCTTAAGAAAAAAAGCAAAATTCCCTTAAGAAAGACTGTGTGGCTCTTTAGGTCACTTGTGTGGCTTCACAAATGTACCAAGACTCATCGTGCTCGGTGGACCTGGCAGATGCAGACAGTACCCACGGGATGGCTGAGTGTCTGTTGTTACCTTACGATGTTAGGAGGAATGGAACCACGTTGAACATTTAAGCCTTTGAATGTGCTCATTCCTCTGTCTCCGGTCCTAGGTTATCCCTCAGACACGATCATTTCTGTGCTCCATTGTGAGTTCCTTATTTCATTGTGAATTCATGGGCATGCGTGGTCTGCTTCATCACATCTGAGCGTGGCTCAGGTGTAGTCATGGGCATACTTGAATTTCCGATTCAGATCCATACAAGCTGATCATGCCAGACATAATTACACCGCTGCCCATTGGTTAACTTACAATAATTATCTTGATAATCCAGTCAATGACTCTTCTTTTAAAAAAAGTTTTGGTAAATGACCTATTTATTTATTGATTGATTTTGTGTACATGGGCGTGGGTGGGGCGTGTATAACATGGTGGGGATCGGAGGATATTTTTGTGGATCTGGTTCTAGAGAGCAAAGTCAGGTTATTGGGTTTGGTGGTAGGAGCCTTAACCCTCATCAATATCTGTTTGTTTAGACACTTGATTTATAATTCACTAATTAATTCCTTGTGTGTTTATATAAGTGTGAGTGTGTAAGCCAGAGGAAAACTTGCACAAGTCAGTTTTCTCCTAGTGTGTGGGTCCTAGGGATCGAACTGAAGGCACCAGGCTGGTTGGCAAGTGCCTTCACCCACAGAACTGCCTCTCAGCCCCTCACTGAGTTTTCCCTTCCTCTAGTTCTCTCTTCTCACTCAGTAGCACGCTGTTATAAGGACACTGGAAAAGAGTCGGCATTCCCTTGAATCCAGGCCACGCTATCTGTGTGACATTTCACGTTATCAGTAACATAGGATCCTGGAGCACACCCTTGCCGATGTCCTTGCCACAAACTCAGAGAACTCTTTGCACGGTCAGGGCATGGTGCAGGTGTGTCAGAGGGACTGAAGATGCCATAGGCATTCTGGAGAAAATATGCTAACCCCGTAAGGATGGGGGCGCGTCCAGCTATCAGGCTAAAGAAAAGGGCAAATGAGAAACCGCACCCTTCTTCAGGGAGCCGTGGGGGCAACACCCAGAGGGTTTCCTCAAGAATCTTTTAGCAGCCGGGCATCTCACTGACAATTTCATTAACGTGCTGCTGGGCTGCCTTCTCAGGGGCCTGTTGTGAATTCCTTGCTTGATATTATTACTGGTTAATGGGCGCACCTGAAATCAAGCAATAATGTATCATTTGGGTAATAGTTATATTAAACGGTTCTTTTGTACAACACCGAGTTTATCAGATTATCTCACTCCTAATAACGAGTGCCTCATCTTTGCCAATTTCCTTATCAAATGTTTCCCCATCATCCCCAAGTGCGGCCACTTCCAGCTGCGTCAGCACTGGGCACTGCATCCTCCGTTTCAATGATGTCGAGGTGCCAGCCTCCTCACGGGTCCCTCCCTTCTCTCTGGCACTGAGGCACAGGCCCGATGTGCCTCTTAGAAAGCTGGTGGTCACCAGCCATTTGATGCAGGCAAATTCGGAGTCAAAGACAGCACGAGGCAGAACTGACAGTGATGTGGAATGTTTACGACAGGCTTCTCCCTAAAGTTTGGTGCTGCTGAATTCGTCTCAGACGTTTCTCTTTTCCCCTGCTCCCTTTGCTGAAACTCGTGTACTTTAGTCTGTGTGGCCTTGTATCAGTGTGGCGGAGCCCCATCACAAGGACAAAAAGCAAAGGATGCTATGCTTCACTGTAAGATAATAAGCATTTAGTAATCCAGAGGCACTGCCTTCATTGGGCAGCTCAGAAGTATAGAGGAGGCTGGAGCAATGGCACAACAGTTACTAACATTTACTGCTCTTACAGAGGACATAGGACTCACAACCATCTATAATTTTATGTCCAGGGGGACCTCACGCCCTCTTCTGGCCTTCACAGGTACTGCATGCACATGGTGCAACTACGTACACACTGGCAAAATACCCCTACACAGAAAATAAATACATCTACAAGTGTTTTTAAACAACTATCTTTAAGAGGATGCATCAAGATTCCTGAACACTGCGTATTTTATTTTATTCAAATGCAAACCTGTAGCAGAAGGCACAAATGGGAAAAAACGCAGAGCAGTGTGTTGGGAGCGAGATAGTGTCCCCTTGTAGAACGTTTGCTGTAATGATACTGTATCTCGTGAAAGAAGGCTGGCTGGCATAGTTGTCATTTTGAATTGCCTTAGTCCAATCCTTATCTCTATGCCGCATCTCGTATTGCTCTCACTTCCAGGTTTTCTTTTCGTTCTGATTCTGTCTTTGGTACTTAAAAAAAAAAAATGTTTCTCTAGGAAGTAAAGAACAGCTCACATTCACCGCTGAGCATCCAAGACAACTCACTCTGTACTCGCCTAGTTCCGCTGCCCATTAAGGCCAAAATCCATGCTTATTGGTCCCCAAGTCTCCAGTGGTGTTATAGACCACATGCAGTTCGTGAATCACTGAGTGAGGATCCATTCTCACAATTTATGATTATCCAGCTCTTCAATTCAAATTAAATCCAGTGCGGAGTTAGCACAGCCTGTGTGTCATGTATGCTTAATATCAAGCATAGCACAATGTAGCTTTTAAAGACAAAAGCCCAGAAAGTGCAGAATCTCTAGCTGCCCCTCTCCATCCTGGTGGTTCATGTGGAGTCGAGGAACAGAGATGAATCAAGCCATGCTGTATTAGTGGATGCACATACGTGCACATCAGGCTCCCGTGTTTTTCTGCTGACAGCTTCTATGGTTTCATAAGTACCTAGGAAAAGCTCGCATGTGCAGGTGGGAATTCATTATACTTTATCGAAGACGGCTACTCTCGATAGAACCTACGGGATGTGACTTTTCATAAAAACCTAATGAATTTCTAGATTTGTTGAGCTGCTTCCAAACAGATGCGCTCTGCTAATCTAACGGAAACATTTAGAGCCGAGACCCCAAACATCAATAGCTTTTAGGATTGCAAATTAGTCTGTCTGCTGGGTAAATGGGGCTGTGTGGTTCTCGATACAAAGTAGCCAGTGATTCTGCACGCGTGTTTTGTGCGTAGCCGCCTCGCTGGAGCCTGATGGCCCTGTGCTCCTTTGCAGAGTTTCAAGTTGAACGTGGACAGTCACTGTGCTCTCAAGGAAGCCGTGGAGGAGGAAGGACACCAACTCCTGGAGCTCATTGCAGCGCACAAAGCAGGTAAATCCTCCTGAAATATTGCGGGTCTTTATGTCTGCAGACTATTAAGAATGAAGAAGCATTGCTGTAAATTACTGCATATATTCACTTCCTTATGTATTATTAATATTTACATTATCAGATTGACCTTCAAGATTTATAAATGTTTCATACACTGCATACAATGCTGCGATACTTATACGATGAAATAGTGCCTCCAACCGCCTGTTCATTTTATTTGGGGCTTACCATTCGCCTGAGTTCCAATTGAAATCACACTCCCGAAAACTTCACGTTGACATGCTTTTTGATGTAGGAGCTCTGGAAATAACGTTAAGATAATGAACAAGAGCCATTCTTACAGACACGATGCATGTGCACTAGCGTGGACATAGATATCACCGTGGATATAAGGCAGACTGTCCACGGACATCTGATTATTTCTGTGCCAGCTCACGCATGTGGACATGTGGCATATTTTCTGTAGGCCTTTGCATCAGCAGAGGCTTAGGCCTTCAACCAGTCCATAGTCCAATATAGATGCATTTAATGAAGAATGTATTATAGATTAAAAAAATTTGTTGTATGGTCCTATTTATCCTGATAGTCGAAGACCGCAAAACAGGATGGGTTGAAGCTTGCTTGTTTGGTTGGGGTTTTTTTGTTTTATTTTGTGGGTTTTTTGGTTGTTGTTTTTTGCTTACTATGTAAACAGGAAAAGAATAGCATCAATGTCAAAGACTACCGTCTTGATTCTGGCCCATTTGCTGTATTTCCCATTGAATTACCTGTATCAATGTCCAGATGTCCATTTGATCAACACAGGGCCTTGTGCTGCAGGTGTGCTAGGTGCTGCAGCTCTAGTCCCAATGACACCTCTCCATCACATTCTGCTCCGCACACACTATTTTCTCCAACCCAGAGCCTGCCTCGGTGTCTGCAAGTGCTCGTCCTGTGTTTGTGCTGTTCTATCTCAGAATATCTGGTCTCGGTTTGAGGGACAAATGGCGGGCAGCAGTGAGGTCGCTAGAGAGCGTGGATGTGGCTGGAAAGAGCCAGCCAGCTTTCTGTGTGACAGACAGTAAGGCAGGCAGAGATGCAGTGGGGCTCACAGCTTTGCTTTCCTTTGGAGAAGGACTGAAGGACATGCTGAAGATGATTGCAAGTCAATGGAAGGAGCTGCAGAGGCAAATCAAACGGCAGCACAGCTGGATTCTCAAGGCTCTGGACACCATCAAAGCGGAGATACTGGCTACTGATGTGTCTGCGGAGGACGAGGAGGGGATGGGGAGCCCCAAGGTAAGTGGCTTGAAGTTTGCCTTACTTCCTCTTATTCCTGTCTTCTTTTGAACTAGGCGCCACTGAAGTTTGCTTTCCACCCCTAAGGCTCTTCGTTTCTAGTGAGTAAACTTTGTAACTCCTTCTCCCTCTGTCTCCCTTCGTGTGTGTGTGTGTGTGTGTGTGTGTGTGTGTGTGTGTGTGTGTGTGTGTATGCTGAAAACAAAAGGCGAGAACTTTCAAGTTTTCTAGGAAGCAGAAGGGGACAGGATTCTAGGGGTGGGAGAAAGGGGGAAGCATAAAACATTTAGTAAACAAAACATAAAGCATCTTTAACATGAATAATCAGAATGGTTTTAAATTGTTTTGTTGCAACTATAAATCACTATAATCAGTGCAATCACTCAGCTCTGACATCCATTAGCCGCTTGGTTACAGCAAATTAACAAAGAAGGGAGAAAGTGATTCATTATCTCATTCCTGTTAATGACTATCAGATGCATTGCCTAATTAGGGGATGGTCATTGTAGTGCGAAGAAGGTCATATGCTTTGCTACAAATCTTTTTGCTCTGAGTGTAAGTTTTCCATAATGGCGCACACACCGAAGGCAGCAAGGATTTCAAAAACAAGTATTGGCAGGCTTTGATTATCCATTTCAGATTTACAAAAATCGCCTCGGAGACATATGCCACCGAGCACCAAATGAAGCGCCTGTCAGTGCGGAGCGCTCTGGTCATAAAGGTGTATCCTTTAGACTTACCGTGTCGAGAACAATTTTATGAATTTGACATTCTCTTGTAGTTTCTCACTTTGTGAAAAGGAGTCCAGAAATCTGTTGCGCTGTAGACTTGGGACCAGAGCCTAGTGTAGCACGGAGGGAAGCAGATGGAAAAGTTCAGTTTCTATTCCTGGCATGGCCAGAGAGAGGGACATCGTCAAATCCCATTTCCTCAGCATGACCAGAGCAACTAACAATCACTTTGCCCTCTGAGACTCAGATGCTTCAATACAGGCAGAGCTGGGACCCAAACCAGTCCCACAACACTGAGACCGCGCAGCCAGCCTGTGAAAAGCTCAGAGGACCTCTCTTTATCTGTCAGAAAGGAATTGAATGGCAAGATCAGTTCCACTGGAACCTCCACCACAGAGGAGGTTACACTTCAGGAAATACTCGAAGAAAGGGAGGGCAGTGGCCTGGCACAGGAGCACATATTTTAGGAAGGGATGTGATTGGAGGTTCAAAGCCGCAACTAAAGCCAAGGACCGGAGTGTAGCCAGCAGACATCTCCAGGCAGAGGGAGCAGACCGCTGGGGGACGTTGATTGGCCAAGGCTTCACTGTGAAAGAGGGGCAGAAACTATCAGAATGGGCACCACTGAAATCTGGGTTGTGTCTTATTTCTTTAACAGAAAGAGGGGCTGGGGTGTAGCCTAGAGGTAGAGCACTTGCCTAGGACGTATGAGGACTTAGGTCGCATTGCCGACACCATAGAACGAGAATGCAAGCATGCTACCGCTACCTCATTCAGCATCCACTCCCAGGCTCTCCTGCATTTGCGCTGTCTCTCTCCTTGAGCATCATAGCAAACGCAAAAGAATTCTACCTGAATCCCTCTGCACAGAGATGAGGCCACTGAGATGTTAACCAGTTTGCCTGAGGGCACACAGCTACTAAGTCTCAGGGCTGGGGTTTGAGTCCACACTCTCTGGCTTAGATGTCGTTTCTCACCCCCATACCCTCTGCTCCCTGCTGGTGAGGCTTGGGCTGAGTGTCTGCGCTTTAGAGAGGCAAGCTTTTGGGAGGCATGGGATGTTTTTGAGCTTGTGGTACTAAAACAAGGGAGGCAGCAGAGATGGGGAGAGAAAGAGATGCAGGAAAGGGGGGCGCTGCTCTGAGGGAGTGAGAGCCCATAGCCAGAGTGTGGTTGGGGGAGGAAGACTGTTGGCCTGCTGTAGGAAAGGAGAGGGTTCCGAATAAGTGGGGGACATAACCCTGAATTTCTGTCTAGCGATGCATTCCCGGCTGTGTTTCAGGCATGGGGATGGGGCAAGGGTAGGTGGCTTGAGTGAGTGACAGTGGGCAGGATGTACCACAAGCCCCTCCGGAGACTGTGCAGCCATCCAGACTGATCAGAGGGCCGAGGTTAAGGACAGCTGTTCAGCAGGACGGACTTGAAGACCACAGCTCCCGGTCAACTTGTTTTTGAGAGGAAGAGAGAAGCCACTTACTCAAGCCAGAGAAGGACAGACATATCAGTAGTTTTTGGAAAGCCTCTGCAAACTGCAGGGGTGATGACCCTATCCCAGAATCCCACATGCTAGCAGGAATGCCTGCAATAGACTCAAGACACCCCCCGCCACATACACACACATACATAACATGAATGAAGGGATGTCTGAGACTCTGTCACTTCAATAACAGACAGTGCCAGTAAAGCTTTTAAACCAGGACTGTATAAATCAACCGCACTACATCTTGTTCAAATGAAATGCTGCATGGCCATTAAAAAGCAGTGTTTTAGAAAAACTTTGTAAACAGTAGGTGATAACTATATATAATTACCTATTTTTAAATAACTTTGTATTTTCCAAATTTCTACCCTGAGCAAAAACTATTATAAGGAGCAGAAAGGGTAGATACAAAGTTTAAGAGTTAAAAATTGTATTTAAAAGACAAAATAGGCGACATTGTGTTGTGGGGTGTGGGACCTGAATTTAACCATGGAAAGGGAGAACAGATAAATCCGATAGTTAATGATCTGTGTTTCTGATTTCTAGAATTAAAACGAAAGAGAAACAGCAAAATTTGCTTTCTGAATCCTTCCTGAAGGGACAAGGTCTCGAGTTTCATCGGCGTACAGAGAGCAAAAGGCTTATTTTCTGAATTAATGCTCCTCTGTCCTGTAGTACTTTCCTGTCAGATCACAAACACACATCATATCTGAAACAATGACAAGAAGAGATTGTATATTGTGGGACCGACACACGGGGAACCTGGGAGCTGCAGATGCAGACGGACCCCAGGCCTTCCACTAGTATCCCAGTTAGTTTTCTCTTTGCCAATCTGGGCAGGGTTTTTCCCCCCAGATAAACAAACACACTGAAGGATGAATTTAACATAGATGCAAGGTTAAGCTACTACGGGGAAAGATGAGATGACCTTTCCCCCCCTATTTAATGTTTATGAATTGTTTCTCTCAGACTTGGGGCAAGCTGAATATCAGGGAGGTGGAGTCTCCAGGTTAGACCATCTGAACGAAATGACTGCTATTTGTTATGAGGTATCCTTGAGACAATTACCTGGCTTCTCTCGCTCATATTTATCATCTGTGAAATAAAGGTCACGGGGCCAACAATACGTTCCAAGGACAGAGGCACTCACCATCCGGCCCCTTGGCCTGGGTTCATCTCTGGGAGACCCACACAGTGGGAGGAAAAGCTGAAGAAGTGGTCTCTGGCCTCCACATGTGTACTGTGACTTGCAGAAGCCAAGCCAACCTCTCTATCTCTTCTCATAGAACATAATGATACACACACACACACACACACACACACAAATATATATATATATATATATATATATATATATATATATATATATACATATTTAACTTTTCAAAGGGGTAATAATTCCTGCTTCAAAAATCTGCAACATGGATCTTTTTAAAGAGGGCTTAGACTGAGTAGGTGTTTTGCAGACTCAGGACATAGCGGCTCAGGATCTCTGAAGATGGAGACCAGCCTGTCCATTAGGTGAGCTTGAAGCCAGCAGATGTGATAAAAGCAGTGCTTAGACCAGAGCCTTGAATGGAATAAATCCTAAACAGGGCCAGCTGTGGTGTAGAAGCCTTCCTATTCTAAGGACACAATAGGCAAATAAGTATAATGGATTTGATAGAATGCCAATAGAAACTGGTACACGAGGCTATAGGTAGATGGAGAGAGGTCTCAAGGAAAGATCTGGAAGGAGCTGACTCTTAGAAATAAGGGCAGAAGGGTATTTTCCATAGTGCAAGTAACGGGCAGGGGGACCAGCATTTTTAAAGACTTGATGTGAGAAGATTGGTATGATTGGAACCCAGAGCCATGGCCGTGGATGATTATGCTAGGCTGTCAAGGTCTGTGTCGAGGTTCCTGGTGTCACGAAAGTGACCTTTACCAATTAGTGATGGGAACAATTGCAAGTCTTATGTACAGACATACATATTGCATACGAATTTTATCTTGTTGTGTCAAGCCATGCAAACTGAATCAGGCTGCCTGTGAGTCCCTCCACAGCCCGAGAGTGAGCCTCCGCTCCCTGTCATTCACGGGAGCCTTCCTCCCATGACGTGACCTTGCTCAGGTCACCTGCAAGTTGCGCCATGAAATGTGTCCCCAAGCGAAGCGTTATGATCATCCATTTCATCTTAAACCTAAAAGAGAAACTAAAATTAAAACATAATAAAAATAGTTCCAGAACTTCTCTTAGGTTTACTTCAGAAGCTACTGGGAGCTTGAGAGACATAATAGAAAATCTAAAGAATATATCTAGGGGGGATTTTTCTTTTTTACCTTGTTTGAGAGACTGCAGAAAAGGGCTTGGTCTTAGAAATCTTGTAAAGCAGGAGGATGGGAGGAAATTCAAAGACTCTGGGCAACGTCTCCCCTAGGACCCCGCAGCATACCTTATTTGTTGTATTTCATTTTTTAAAAAAGTGTTTTCCCAGGACTGCAGGATCTTTTATACATGGAAATAGGGAGCGGAATCCATCAGTTCTGGAACCACAGCTTCAGCATGCACATCCAAGAATCTAAAATATGCTTGTAATTATGTATTTTAAGAAAGGTTGATAAAAGTTTATCACCTTAAACTAGAAGCTTTGTATTTTAAACATTTCAGTGATGTGTAACTAGGAAGATTTCAAAATACAGTGACTACCCAATGCCCATCAAATGCTGTGTTTCTTTTTTTGACCTTTCACAAAGTAAAAGCCAGATCATCCTAAAGAAGAAAAATATTAATTGACATTGTCTCCTTT